AACTTCAGTCCATGCAACTTATCAGTTGGGACAACGCCTGCTATGACCAGCTTGTTCATTCCCTCTCTCATTACTCGCCCATTATCACTCCAATAGTAATTGTTCTTTCTTTGCTGTTGTGATAGCCCCTGCTGATTATACTTATCCCCCGTGAGATACACTCCTCTAGCTACTTCTGACTTGTATAAATGAGGAACGAGATGCCTGACCATCCGTCACATATGGAGATAGAGAGGTGGCGAACAGAGCAACCGCGACCGCAAACACAATCGGGTAACATAACCAGTTCGTGATGAAAGCAACATCTCAAACTAGTCACCTTTGACAAACACTCGCGAGATTCTCGCACCCATACAATCTCGTAGACTCGTATCCGTTAAAAACCACCTCCGAAATTAGCACGTACCTTAGTCCTCGATTTAAATCGGCACTTCCCTACATTATCACTTATCTCTTACACATACTGAACGCATAAAGTAGATAATTGTCACTCCACGGTTGTTGCTAATGATGTCAATATTTTGCTTATACTCACTAAACAAATGTATTCTGCTCGACCTAACAAGGGCTTGCCTGTAACTCGCGCTTAGCACAGTTACCTGTTTTCACGGTCTCAACTATCGACTACCACAAAGCTGGCTCATGCAGTACTATACCAAGAATGAGGGTAATTGTGGCGCATCCGTACTGAAGATGCCAACGAACGAAGCTCGTGCTCTCGGGGGGAAGCGGGATGCAACTGTTGAATTCTCGTGTCCTGGTGTGCCATTACCACCGCGTTGTAATTCGCTAACCAAATCTATGCACAAAAATAGTTGTCGTTAACAAAAATTGAAGGGCATGTCCCCCCTCCGTTTGGCCATCCCCACGGCTGATTAACAACACTTCCCTCTCACTGGCCCCTCTCCGAGCCTAAGGTGATTAGTGCAACGCCATGCCAATTCCCTTACAGGCTGTTCAGAACGCGCCCGCCTCTCTCCCTCTTCACACTGTAACCTCGTCTCTTCTTGCGCGGCCTCTTCCGGGCACGGATCATGCATGGGTCATCCGAAGCGCACACCCAGACCCTCTTCCCACTTACTCATTTGGAGAAGGGCTTATTGGTAGTCACAGATCGACACAAACTGATGCTCGCCTCAAATCACGGTGAAGGCAAGGAAAAGAGCCACGTTTGAGCACATGGCGAGAGCCAAGTGAGCCATTGGCTACTGCAATCCCCAAGCAACCTTCGCCGCGGAGACGACCCCGTTGACTTCTGCTGATGCTCCCGCTCAACCGTGCCCGTCGAAGTCTCTGCCTCCAGGTAAGAAACAGTCACTTTCACTTCATCTGTGACCCCGTCTCTCCTGCACCTCCTCTCCGCACGGTCCTTGGCTTCCGTGATGGCCGCTTGTAACCCTCGATCGGCCCTCATTTCTTCCTCTTCTTCCCCTTCAACATTTATCTTCAGCCTTGCCTCCCGCTTGCAATGGTTGTAAGTCCAAGACGGCGGTCACAGTCGGCCCGTCTCCAAAAATCCGCTCCCATCTACAGAGGAACTGGAGGCATCTTGGCCTATAGCCATATAGTCCGCTGCTCCGTACCAGGATGAACCTCCGTGAACAATATTCGTTATCAGTCTGCAGATCTCGGCATAGCCGCGGTCGAACATTCAGAGCATGAGCACGAGCACACCAACAATCTCAAGCACTCGCCACGTCGTTCGGGCCCCTCCCCCCAGTTCGCCAGTACCTGGCGTAGAGCATGAGCACGCGCACACCAACAATCTCAAGCACTCGCCACGCCGTCCGGGCCCGTCCCCCCAGTTCGCCAGCACCCGGCGTAGCGAGATCACTCATGCCGCAGTTGCCAAAAGACCATCTCTCCCTTCTTTTTATAGGATCGCTACCCGCCACGATCCCCATGCTCTAATCGGGGAACTCGGGTAGCCTTTAAAATTCCGCTTACTAGTGGCCTGTGATTCTGAAAATAATAAAATGAAATAAAATATAGAAATAAAATAAGGAGAAACGAAACGAGAGACCAAATACCAACGGTCATAGTGCACGCGGACCCTCTTGCTATCAGTCCCTGCCACTTCATTTTGCCGCGGAATGCTCGCGACCCTGAAAAGGTGGTCCCATAATGGGATACCAACCAGCAGCCTCTCTCCTCTAAAAGGAGTCGTCAGGCTACAACTAACGGGTACCCGTGTCCGATGGCAAGGAGGGGGCTCACGACCTCTCACTGGGGGTGATGAGTCTCCTACCAATGCGGCCACGGGTACTCCCATTTTGGTGTCCCACTGATGCAGCGATCAGACGGTCACGTCAGCAATGAGTCGAATGCGAGGGGTCTGGCTACCAGTCTGCAGTCAAGGTCCGAAAATGAACCGTTGATCCCCCAGCGACGTGACTGGGCGGGGGAACCAGGATTCGTAAGGCCCAAAAAAGAAGAAGACTGCTACATCTAAAGATTATAGTAAAGGAAAACAACTCTGCAGAATTCCTAGCGCCGTGCCTGTTAAAGACCATCAGATCTAGCAATCCTAAAGTAGGGGCATGGATTCAAACAACAATACAAAGCACTGCCCCCTTTCTGTTTCTTTTATTCCTTTTCCTTTCATCCTCGGAGTCACTGCACCTACCCCAAGACCCGGCCATGGGAACTCGGCGTGCAGTAGGAAGGACCGTCCCCGTTTTCATTGTCATGTCCCTAGGCGACAACGATCACAGTATAGTGGGGTGCCAAGCCTAAGTGTACCGATGGAAGTCTTGTCACACACCCCACTTCTTTGCCAGGACATGCACTGACATAACCAAGCCTCAACGGAGCGCCACTCAGCTGTTTCCGCTCCGTATGCCACAGAAGCCCATAGGCGGAGAGTTTGGTGCACCACGGGGGGTTCCTCGATTAGACGTCTAGTACTCGATGGAGATGCGTGAGCAGGTACTTGGAGCACAACAAAGATGCGTGAGCAGGCATTTGACATACGGCGGAGGGCCGGGACACCGCGCCCTCCGACAACACACCATGTCAGCAAGTGGACAGCTGGTGCCAGAGCAAGAAGGCGCCAGCACACATGCAGCAGTCTCGCGTCGTCGTCCACAGTGGCAGCGTACAGCCAGTGTCAAGCCAGCGTCAAGCCAGCGTCAAGTCAGCACGGCAAGACTGAATGTCAACTCCTGGAGGCTGGGGCCTTATGTAGTGTTTGACGTGGTTGACCTGCCTCAGGTCTTCCACCCACGGTGGCTCAGATTGACTCACAGCCGACGGCCTGGATCTCATACAGTTGCAGACTTCTACTTGGTCCGGATGCTGTGTTGATACCTGCATACAAACAAGTGTGTGTGTCTGACCGGCGGCCTGGGCTGGGTCCATGCAGACTCTTTTTCGTGGGCCGCTGGGCAGTTGACTAAAGTCAACTGTCGGGTGCCGGGGCCCTGAAACCAATTTTGCGGCTTTTCTTCCCCTCGATTGTCGTGGCCTGCAGGTGACCCTCAGGCAAAAGCACTGCATACTGAGCAGGTTATTGCAATATCCGTCGTAATATGTTAAATTAGTGATGCGTACATTGCTTAAATACCGAGTTTCTTTTTGCTTGAAGGTATTGATTCTCGACCCCCCTTTCTTCTTGGTTGTCTACGCTCAGTAAATGGCGAAATGTGATCTGGTACGTAAGGTATGAGTCAGGAATTCATATCTATTGCTAATCATTCACAAATAGTGCATGCCATTCATGGTTGCAACCGACCTTGATGACGTTGGCCATCGTCAGTGAATTGTTGGTCCGTGGCCATATTGTGAGGATTGAGCCCTCAACGGGGCCTTGCCGACATACATATGTTCTGCGTATAGGCCCTCAGCAAGCCTCGTGCCTGCCCTAAGTGAAGGCGGGCCAGAATATCCACGAGAGGCCTTCATTCAGCATTTCCCAAAGTGGGTATCCGACAGTTGCCGCAAACCAGTTGGTTGGAGTGCATCGTGAGCCTCTGATTCCTGCAAAGTCAGTTGAGCCCAGTGCCGGGGTTGGTTGAGCCCTGGGCGACAGTCTGGGAGGCCGACACATCCCACATTGGTCCCTGGCCTATGGAAAAGCAGTATTTCGTCGTAGAGGCCGGGGAAGCTAATGGGAAACCGGTACGGGGCCTGAATCTAGACAACGGCCCTAGCATAAGGGGCGCAACTGTATTACTTGGGCCCCATTTGCATTGGGCCTGGGTACAGGTACTGCGGCCCAGGCGCAGGCTCAAGGGAGACCGCCCACATGCAACACTGGCATATAGGCAGAGCGGGCGAGTGGGCAGGGATCTTGGCCATTGCGATCAAGGCCGGCACGCTGTTGCATTGCGAGTGTGCTGCGCTGCGCTAGGCTGAGAGAAGGCAGGCTGGCGCTAAGCGGTAGGACGCAGCCTGGGCGCAGGGCGCTGGCAGCCATAGCCAGGCTGCATGAGGGCGCTGGAAGAGGTGAGGGCGAAGGTGGTTCTTCGTGAGGTGAAGGGCACTGTGTGGGATAACAAGGGAGAGTGAGGGACAAGAGAGTGAGGAGGTCGGCATTGGTGTTGACGTCATCACTAGCTGGTCATCAAGTCGTCTGGTTGCTTCCATGACTGTAGTTGTAGGATAGGCTGTAGAGTAGATAGGGTGCCTGGCGCCATTCAAGAGAGTGAGCTACTTCGGGTTATGATGTTGGTGTTGCCCGATTGGGCTTGGACATTGACTCACGACTTTTGCTGTATCGTTCTCAAATGGATGGTTGCTTGGTTCCAATGTGTTATCTGCTCTTGCTTTGACTACTTGGACTTCAGTGTGATTTGCAATTGGCATTTCTTTGCTTCGTCCACATTCATGTTCCTTGCAATATGGTTGTTTTCTGTTGTTTGTTCTTTGGCCATGTGGTTGTGGTCAGGTGAGAAGGTGGATTTTTGAATGCCCTGGCCCTGTGTCAATTCTTTAGGTTTTTCAATGTCTTGGTTGCTGTTGTTGTGGCATGTCTCTTTTGCTGCGAATTGGTGATCCAGAAAGCGTTAATGCTTGTAAATACATTATCAGAGGAGACGCTGGAGTTGAGGACCGAACGAGATCACTATCAGGTATATGTCAAGGTTTGTCTTTGCTGCTGCCATTTTTTTTCTTGTTCGTTCAGTGGGGTAGCGCATAACGTTCCAGTTCCAGTATTGTGGTCTGTGTATCAATAGCCACACATGAGTAAGGTTCAGCCACAGGGCGAAGTGTGTTTGTATTGGAGTGTTCCTCTTTGTGCAAACCATTGGTTCATATGGTTTCTGACTGTGTTACAGGATTCCCCGACAGCATTCACTTTTTGCTAAACCAAAATCTTACATTGACTATCTGTGTTGTTTGTTTAGAAGCAGTGACTACCATGGTTCCGGGAATAGAAGACACGCCACTCAGGAGTTATAGCTGCACTTGGTGCAACTTGCAGTCTAGATTGCACGATATTGCCCGTGTTGTTCTACACAGGGGAAGAGTACAGGCATCACTCATTGTGATTCATGGACACACCCTTAGATGTGGTAAACATGCATACCATCAGCGAAAGGCTTATAATAAGGGAACAATGCACTCAGATGCCTTCCTCTGTAGTGCTTCTTCGCTGTGATACAATGAGGACTGCCAGTCACTGCCTGACTTTGACAGAGCACTCACACTTCTGAAGAAGCGTGGGCACCTCTAGATGTGAAGAATGAATGTCTTAACAATTTCAGATGCATGCCCTGTAGGTGAGAAAGAACGCTACCAGAAGGCCCAAGGCTGTAGGTGTGTCCCTTCGCTTAAAGGGGTCTATACACTTCCGGGAAAGTAGGCAAAAATGAAATTTCATCGAGTTTTAACCACCAGTATCACCGCTCCTCTGAAAATTGACCTTCTTGTCATTGCACTGGCTGCAGGGGGGGTCGGCTGACTGGCCACTGGAGTTTGATGACGGCACGATAAATTTTGCGTGTGGCGACTGTAGTAGTATTTTTGCGTGTAGGACTTCAGGGAAAACAATCTGGACATGGGTGCAGATTTGGTGCTGGTCGTTCTGGGAAAGTATTAGGAAAAAAGAAAGTCTAGGATGGAATAATGGAAGAATAAAATTGTGGTGAAGTTTGCATTTTTCTGCTCTGTTATGATCCTGGTCATTCCCAAAAAGCAATTTCACAATGAAAGACAATGCCACCCAATTGCGAAAGAAATGAAAGCACTTGCAAAGAGATAGAGACCAAAGAAGAGAAAGAAGAAGAAGAAGAAGAAGAAGAAGAAGAAGAAGAAGAAGAAGAAGAAGATGTACACCAGCAAGACCAATGACAAATTCCCCCTTCTCTCTCCACCTTCCTCCCCCTCCTTCACTTCGCCAATCTTATTCTTCTTCCAATAATAATAATAACAATGAGTGGGTGAACCAATATCCTAAGTTCCCTCTTACTGCTGACACTACAATAGGTCCACCATAGCTATGGCTTCCCCTCTTCTTCCTCCTCTCACATGCCTAGGCTATGGCGGACTACTGAGGGCTCTGCCCTCCTGTGCGAAAGACAACACAAAGCAGCTATGTCGTTGCACTCCTGTCCAAAGGACAACCCAAAGCATCAATGCCGCTGCTCACTAAGCCGCTGTGCCTGACTCTGCCTCGAGCTTCCTTGGTGTGGCACTACCCCAACTGGGGCCTTCCAGATGCAGCGTCCAACAGGATGATGAAGATGGTGTCCGCCATAGCCAGGTAGGTACCTCGCCTTCCTCCTCCTCAGGCTGGACTGCTCGCCATAGCCAGGCTGAACGCCCAGTTGCTCTTCACCTCCAGGCAGCGCTTCCCAAGTTAAGCGCTTGGCTCCACCAGCATGTCGCAAATCCTTGCATACCGCAAATGAGGAGGAGCTGCTTGCTCCTCCTGAAGATATAGCGGCCTACTGGCCTCTTGCGCGGTGACTTCCTAGGCTGAGCGGCCTCCCAGCAACTGGTACCTCCTCCTTTTCGGAGGGAATCATCACTGCAGGCTCTGCCATCGTCATCCGAACAGGCCCTGGACTCAGGCTACTTGGACAGGTACCGGCCTACCTGCTACTTGAGTGTTTTTTCTCGCTGCTGTCGCGGGCCTACCCCTGCTACTTGAGTGTTTTTCCCGCTGCAACCCTCAAAGTCACGGCCACAGGTAAGTACCGGCCCTGCGGGGCCTTTCAACCACAAGTACCCTTGCGGGTCACACACACACTCAGCCGACAAGCACTCAGACAGGCACGCAAACCAGCAGCCACGCACACACACACAGACTTAGAAATCACAGCAGGATGCAGGAATCTCAGCAAGGCATTCATTCCAGCTGCAAATCCCAGAAATCAGCAGTGTTCTCAGTCGTGTTTTGGCGGGTCATTACATGCTCTCTTCTGCTACCGCTAGGGCCCAAGCTTTTTGGATCCGTCCTGCTACCAGTAGCTGATTTATGTCACATGAACGGGACTGGTGGTTTAAAATTGGGCAGTTTCAAACTTGTGTTGTGGTAGAAGTGGACGCTGCATGCATGTTGTTGATTGTCAATACTATGATAGACGGTGCAGTTGATGTAGCAGATATTGCTGCCCAAATTTGTTCAATTCTCGCTGTTTTTTCTTACCCTTAGTTCTCTCCTTTTGGATAACCTGGTTCTCTTTTCCGCATTTCGAACTTTTTGACCATGAATTGTACAGCAGGGTTACAAGCTAATATTGCCACTGAGACAGTCAAGTTACTGTTGAGAATGTATTGGCCTCACTTGCTCTCTGTTCATTTTATCACTTTGAACACTTTTTGTCATATCTCACTTTTACTGCCTGGCCTTCACCCTATCCTACCCTATCCGACCACAATGAATTTCCACTTCTCTGCTGCTGTGTCACACTCTGTCTCTCCGTGCTTCCACCCCTTTCCCTCCAGCCATATGTTTCACTCCTGTGCCACCCCCCTGAGTGTTGGATGCGCATATATTTTGATTACAGCATGCGGTATGTTATATTTGAATACAATGTACCCCATTCGCTGTACACGCTTGCATACTGTACGTATGTTATCCTGGGGGGAAGACAGTAGTCTGCTCTTGCTTCTTTTCAATACAATGTACCCCATTCGCTGTACACTTGCTTCTTTGCGGAAATTGACACTTCATCGACACCACCTCACAGAGGACAGGTGCTCGATGGTTTTCAGGCAGCCCATGCAGACCAGCACCCCATTTTCCTGACTGAGGTGGTTCCTACAGGGCCTCCATTTTTTCACCTGGTCTGAGAGATGGGCAAGTCACCAGCGAATCGAGTGATGTTTTTTTTCCCTCGATCGATAGATATCGTCCCAGGCGTAGAAGCCAGGGTCAGATAAAGGGAGTGGTAGTTCAATAACTGGACGTTTGTTCTCCAGAATGGGTGGTGGAGGACGATTGGAGGGGCTTTTCGTGTTGGACCTCATGGGCCTCTTCTAAAGACCTATGTGTGAGTCCTTGTTACTTGCTTTCATGTTGAATTTGGTGGCACTTCCCTGTCTGTGGCATGTGGTCTGCTTGTGGCTGTCCAACAGTTGAAGCTGGATGAACTGCATTCCGACTTGGCGACATTTGTTGAAAGTCTTCCTGAATGGGGCAAGAGCGGCCAAGTTAGCGATGCTGTCTACGCACAGCTTTATGAGATTTCACGGAGGGTGGGTGTGACAAATGAAGCAGAATCAACGCCAAGGACTGCCAGGCCGTTTCCATTGCAGACGCCAAGGAGCGGAAAGAGTCCTATTGCTGAAGAGGAGGGGGAGAAAAGGGAGAAGGAGAGGGCGAAGAGTGAAAAAGAGTCTTCTGTGAGCAAAGCTGACTCTGAGGTTAGTAAACCCACATATGTCCTGCTAGAGCTGCCGTTGCCGATCTTTATCGCACGAAATGTCTGGTGTAGGCCCTGGCCCTGTGTGCATTACATTTGCTCCTGCTGAAAACTGTATGGACACACCTTAGTCAGAAAAATATTAAAATAGTGAGAGATGGTTAATGGAAGGCCTAAGATCCAGGAAGTTTTGCCGCATCACCACAAGCAATGTCGTCAAAACTTTTGCGAACAAACAATGCAGGCTCAAACATTAAAAAAAAAAAACTGGCAAAAAACTGGGTGGGGGTCCGGGCTGCCCGGCTGACTGGCGGGGGCCCGGGGGAGGTCCCGGGCGGCCTGGCCGGGCAGGGCACCCGGTTGGGGGCCGGGCCCCCCCAGCGCACTCACCTGTCTGGGGGTCTCGGACCCCCTTTTCGCTGCTGTTGGCCTCCCGCAGGCCTACCGGGTCCGACCGGCCCGAAAAACCGTCCCGTCGGGCCCGGTAGGCCTGCAGGATTTTAGAAAATTTGTGACGGCTCTGTGGCCGTCGATCCACCATGATTGACGGCCACAGAGTCGGTGGATCTAGGCTCCAAACTTCCCCCCGTTCAAACCTGGGATCGGCTGGGGTGGTCTGCCACTCGCCCCCCAGCAAAATCGGAGTTGCTCCTGCGCCGTCCTGCTGCGCTGTCGGCCGTCGCCTGTCGCCCGTTGCCATCGCCATCCAGAGTTCTGCTGCAGCTGCTACGACGAAGGCCCCGACTGTCCTGCTGCTGCTGCTACGATGAAGGCCCCGACTGTCCTGCTGGGTTGTGTTGGACGGGCAGACGAAGGCCCTGCTGCTAGGGTAACTGTTGCAGGTAACGACGAAGGCCCCGACGAACTTCTTGTTCTTCTTCTTGATCATTCGGTAGGTCACGTGAGATACGACAAGCCGTCCACCTACCACCGCCCCCCTTCTCGGCTCATCTTGTTCTTCTTCTTCTTTCCTCCTCCTCCTCCTCCCGTCTTCTTCGTCTTCCCCTCGTCCCCCTCGTATTTTCATCTTCCTCAACCTTTCATCTTCTTCGCCGTCTTCGCCGTCTTCCCCTTCTCCCCCACTCGTTTTCTTTCTCCTCCTCCTCCTCCTCCTCCTCCTCCTCCTCCTCTTCTTTTTCTCCTTCTTCTTCTTCTGCTGCTGCTACGATGAAGGCCCCGACTGTCCTGCTGCTGCTGCTACAACAAAGGCCCCGATGACGAAGGCGCCATTCTTCTTCTTCTTCTTCTTCTTCTTCTTCTTCTCGTAATCGTGTAGGGGTAGGTCACGTGAGATACGACAGGTGAAAAAAAAAAAAAAAAAAGGGCCGTCCTCCTCCCCCTTCTTCTTCTTCTTCTTCTTCTTCTTCTTCTTCATCTTCTCCTCCTCCATTCGCTAGGGCTTCTTCTCTCCTCTTCCTCTTCTTCCCGCCATACCTTACCGCCGCCGTTCTTCTTCTTCTTCTTCTTCTTCTTCTTCTTCTTCTCCATTCGCTAGGTCTTCTTCTCTCCTCTTCTTCTTCTTCCCGCCATACCTTACCGTTGCCATTCTTCTTCTTCTTCTTCTTCTTCTTCTTCTTCTTCTTCTTCTTCTTCTTCTTCTTCTTCTTCTCCTCCTTCTCCTCCTGCTTCTCCTCCTCCTTCTTCTTCTTCGTCGTCGTTGTCGTCTTCTTCGTCTTCTTCTTCGTCTCCTCCTCCTCCTCCTCTTCCTCCTCCTCCTCCTCCTTCCCTCT